AGGGGGGGAGGGGGAAGGGGTATATGTTGCAAACGTTCACCAATTTTATCTCTTAAGTTCCTTCTTGAATCCTGGCTTTTTGCTTGGGAACTCTTATTTTGACACGTTTGTCTCTGCTGAGTACATTTTGAATCTGTAGTTTTGAACATAGATCTTCTATATTTTCATGTTCAATGTATATATTTTGACCCGATGAGTTTTGCACTTCCAAATGTGATGCAACACATTAGATGCTTGTCAATAGTTGATTATGATTTTACAGCCTGAAATATCTTAAAGATCCGCGAACAGTAAGCTGTCCAACTCAATTTTTATGACATAGCAGCATCTATACTTTGTTGCATCACCCTGAATCTTATTGTGATGTCTTGCATTTGCTACCTTGTGAGGATTAAGTACATTCTGGTTTTGTCTTTGGCTGATTGCCATCTTCATATGCATAGTCTGCTAAATTTTGTAAATTATTCTGTTCTCTATTTCCTTGTTTGATTCTCCTTATTTCAATTTCGTAATGTTCCTATATACTCGACTTCAGACTTATGATTTGATTTTGATTTTGATTTTGATTTTTCTTTTCCTTTTGGTTATGGCCTAATGTATTATACGTTCAAAATAATGATGCTATAGAGATTTTCCTCCTATAACCTGGACGGTGCTGTTTCACTTTGAGTTGCTGACTTAATTGTGTTGGTGTTACTTCTACCTTTACGCTTCTCCAGAATCAAACTCTGGCATGATCAATATTCAATCCCTTGTTGTAACATTTAAAAGATTAACACACAAGTCTTCTGTCTTGTGAAGAAGATAAAGTGGAGATTTTTAAACCTCGTATTATGTATTTAGATGTTGCATGGATACTTAACATCAGGAGAAGCTTTTACCTTTTTCCACCCAAATGCATATCTGAAGAACCACTGGTTGCATGTTAAGGACCAGTTCAAAACCCCTGTTGCATTCATGTTTATCTGACACGATTTGGGCACTGGTGGGGGTGTGGGATACGCATCAGATTTGGTAATTCACCTATAATGTGCTGATTACAACTATAGCGAAGAAGCATGGGTTTGTTGTGTTTTTGCTCTTTATGTGTGTATGTGTCTGTATTGTGTATATATAATGTAATTGTCAGAATGTATAAAACTATTTGCTACTATATGACATGCATAAAACAACACCACCTCAATCCCAAACATGTCGGCAGTATGAGATATACATATGGAATAAAAAATTGGAAATTGGTGATGAAGGATATGTTTTCTTGATATCCTCATTGCTTTCAGTGAACATAGCTTGCATGTACCTTATGTTGCACTTAAAGAAGTCTTCAAAGACCTATTTATTTAATTATCTGCTACATGTGATATGAACTGATTGTGCCAGAACCTTCAAATCTGCAGAACTTGTGAGATCTGTGGATCAATTGCACGGAATGTTGCAGGTGCAAATGAAGCAGAGCTTGTGGAGCAGTGGAATGAAGCAAATGACGCAGCATCTGTAGCAGCCACCGCACCAGCCACAGTAGAGACAAGAAACTTCTGGCAGGGTCATCGATTCCTAAACTTCTTGCTTGCTTGCATGGTTTTTGCATTTGTGATTTCCTGGCTCTTTCACTTCAATGTACCATCATGATACTTGGAGAGACTATAGTAGCATGTCAGCTAGGGCTCCATGCATGTTTCCCCGTGCTACGATGGCACTCTAGCATACATAGCTGCATTCCCACTTGGAAAAATTCCTGTTACTTTCCTAAGATGTTAATATAAGTAGAAGAGCTACAGAAAAAACCAGATTTGTGCTTCATGTTGTGACGAGGTGTAAGCAGAAATATTTGTAATTAATTCCAGTATATAGTGTGTAACAATTTGATTGATTGTCCTGCGCTAATTGTTCCTGTTGTTAAGCCACACTATCGAGTTGCATGTATGGGCTTCAGATTTCTCCCCTTTTCTCTCACAATATCCGCCTTGCTCTTCATTATGGTTTCAGGGGAAAAGCTGATGTTACCTTAAAAGCTTCATTACTTAATCTTTTTCTTTTTCTATTTTGGTTTAAATATTTCATCTTGTGCTGCATCAGGGATTTGCGGTGTGCCTGAGGTAGCCATTTCCAAGTAATATTTGGATGCCTGGACTCATAGCTAATGATGAGGGATTGATGCTAATAATGTTCGTACCCAGATTATCTCAGCCTTAGTAAGCAGAGTTACTCGTGCTATCTGTGTTGGTAGGAAGTATCACATATCTAGTGGAATAATATAGATGCACGCAAGCTAGTTTGAACGCCATTGTTATTAAAAACAAAAATGATTTTACCAACATAGATGTAGTAAAGAACCAGAGACACTCACATTTGGTTTTAGGTCATGTTCAGCTGAAGAGTGGTCCGTACCAATGGAAGTTGGAGCCTATTTTGACATGAGCCTCATGTCCCCTTAGAGGCAAAACAAATGAAGTTAGTGCTCCATCTGAACTTTTCAAGGGGTATACAACATGCAAGGGTGAAATGTTGAGTTCCACTCAATATTTAAATCGAAGAAAAGGTTAATTTTATTTACACCCTTTTACGTTCTTACGTAGCCCGATAGTAGGGCTGGATTGCCATCACATCAATAGTTGATTGAATCACTAAAATTGTTAGGACCGAAAAACTTGGGTGTCATGCGAAAGCTAGTAAGCAGACCTTGAATAACGATAAATCATATAACAAAGGAGAAATATACCAAAAGAGATACAAGCATTTAACGTGGTTCGGTCAACTGACCTACGTCCACGGCGGAGATGGGAAATCCACTATAATAAAGAGAGTACAAAATATCGAGATAACAACCTCACGAAGAGGCAAACACAAGTGACACACTAACATTTGTCCCGTAAAGTTCTTCCCTAACCACGACTCTCAAACCCCATATGACTACATTGTGGATGCTACTGAATGAGAAGGAAGGATCTTTAATTTATAGAAGTCCAAATATTTTCCTACAAGAAAAAAAGACTAGCCAAATATGGAAGAATTATATTTTCCTTCTAGGAAAAGAAAAACCATATGGTAAATATGTTATCATTTCCTTCATGAGATAGGAAAATTAATTATGGTAAGAAAATCTGGACAAACACCTAACAATTCTCCCCCTTAGCCTGAATTTTCTAACAAAATAAACTTGATCTACATTCTTCACATAGCCTTCAACATGTTGCATCTCCAAATCTCCACCACAAAGTTTGTCTCAACGTGCCTAATACTCCGGTCAAATTTCTCAGAAAAAAATCTTGATTATCATCAAATAGGTTGCCTCTAGAACTGAACCCGCCAAGATGAACATGTCTTAAACCTCACTCTGATACCACTTGTTATGGTGAGGAAGAGCAAACCCGAAAATAAAGAAGATAACGAACACCAAATTTTAACATGGAAAACCCTTCAAATCAAAGGTAAAAACCACGGGATCACAAAGATCCAAAAAGCTCCACTATAATAATAAGAGGGTTACAAAATTTCTCCAAATAGGCTACACAACAAGTTCCAAACACGGAGCAACAATAGCAACAAGAGCAACGACAAATCAATTGAAGAAAGAGGAGAAGTCACAAAATTGGAGCTGCTGGTCGGGACTCGAAATCAGATGCTACAGACTTCATAATCCGATCTCCACCGTTCAAATCAAAGACAAAGATGTTACTAACACTCAGTCAAAATTTCAACCCAAGATCCAACGGTTAACGAATCGAAAAAAGTAATTTTTAGTTTTCTGGTGGAAATAAAAATCTGCAGCAAAATGAATACTTGTCTTCTCTCTTCTCTCTTGATGAAAGCTCTCTCAAAAACCACACTTATGTGCTTAAGTCTTTCAAAGACTTTTAGCAATGGCATTGAATGATTCTCCAAGATTGTTCTATTTATAGATTGTTTACCTTGAAAAAGGTAATAACAATTAGATTTGATTGTGTGGTTCTAAAAATATGTGATCTATTTTTATGCTAGTGTATACCGTGAAAATGGTAATAACAATTAAATTTGTTGATGGGACTCTAAAAATACGTGATCTATTTCATGCTAGTTGTTTAAGCAGATGATGCTACGTGTATGAAGTTTAGAGACGAAATGCGAGCTAAAATAAAGTAATGATTAAACCGATGAGCTAGCCGATCGGGGCCTCGGACTGACCGATACGGGGCCTCGCGATTGATTCCTGGCTCGGGCTCGAGCTATTAAGGGTAATCAGGAAAGTGCTAACAGTTATAAAATAATCAGCGAAGGCTCTTTATGGCCAATGATAAGAAAATAAATGAAGAACAAATATGAAGATAATAAATAAGAGCAACAATATCGAGGGAGTATATTAGAGAGAAAAAGAGAGAGTTCTTGTAAATTTTGTGTGAAGTAGTTGGAGCTACAGCAGCCCTTTACAAAATGACAAAGATCCCCTTTATATAGAAGGGGAATCCCTACACGGTACAAAATACATTAATTGTAAAGATATGGAGATGGGATGGCTAGACATGACACCCTGATTCGGGTTCAGAGTAGGCTGTTCACAGTAGGCTGGCTAGGCTTTGTCAGACTCAGCCGCGTGTCTTGGGAACTCCCCGTTTTTACCCTTGCCACAGTCAATGATGCTTCTAGGCCGGGCGTCGACGAGCCTCGAGGGAGGGAACTCGGTCACAGATTTGCGGCCTCGAGGCTTCGAGATGACCTTCTGGAATGCCTTAATGATGGGAAATTGGACCCTCCGATTTCACCATATACAGATAGTCTCCGCATTTCCTAGAACGAAGCGATGGGAAACGATTTTGACATCCGACCCCTCGGGCTTTCCGAGACAACGTCATACAGGTGACACAACCTATGACGCGGGCCTTCACGATAATCAGGACATCCCATGGACTTGTCTTTTCGGCGTCATTCAATGCACTGTCAATTCCTATTCTTCAAAGTGACAGTACCGCCGTCGATTCAGTTTTTCAAGAACGCATTGATTGCTCCTGCCGATCCGTCTTTTAAAGGCATCAATGGCTGTGTTATCACCCCCTATAAATGGGGGCATTCCGGTACTATCTCTTTATCCAAGTGCCTTTCTCTATTCATTCATCCTTCTCTTCTCACTATCTTCCTCCATTGCTAACCACCATTTTGGGGTTTACGGCTTTAAGGTTGTATGGAACTGTTTTCATCGGCTGTGTGGTAGCCTTCTGCCTGAGCTCCCCTTGTCGAACGAGATCACACCGTCTTGTCACTATTGTTGTTGTTGTTATGCCTGTTACTGCTGCCGTTATTGGCTCGAGGTGATGATACAAGGGCAACCGACTTTTTCCGGTCTAGAAGGATGTTTGGACTCTACACCGCTGCTCACGAGGGCATTCGGACTATATACCGTTACTCACCCTCTTTCCCCGGCCTGGTGTGGCACTTCGCCTCTTTTGCTTTTCCTGGGATGAAGTGGTACCTCTGGCCGGTAGCTCGCACGTTGTTACGTCCCAAGAAGTGGACTCAATGTAGCCGTGCAAGCGAGGCCGACGCCCACCGAGCCTTTCACCGGGCTAAGGCATTTTTCATCCCTTTCTGCTCCTCCTACTTTCCTCTTCTTCCTCCTCTCATTTGAAGTGCTACTTTGGGGGACCGGGATGAGACCGTTGAGATAGTGATGTCTGAGTATGGTGTCGCTGAGGATGCTCTCCGGAGAGTAGGAAAGGCCCTTAGGCTTTTACTGCGGGTGTGCACCACTTCGCTTCTTTGTTTCTGTGTAAGGACCCCTTATGGGTTTTTGTAATCATATGCAAGGACCCCTCGTGGGCTGTTGTAACCAGACGTTTATGAATATAAAGATATTTTCTTAACTTTCGTCTTTGATGTTTGCCATATTCTTTTTACATTTGTGGAGACTTCTGAATGTATGCCTTTGCTGACTATTGTCCATATCTAACCTGGATGCGAGTATTCTTTCTGGTCTTCGGTTGATAAAAATGGCACCTCTCGGAGCCCTCTGTTTTTCCTCGGATCAAGCTTGAATCGGTCCGATAGACTCGGGCCGTCGGGACCCTTGGGCCATACAAACATAGTACCTCGAGCCTTGGAATTATTTAGAGCGGTCTCCGAGTGAGGGTCAGTTTTAGGCACCTGGAAACTTGCTTTGAACTTGATGTAGATAACCTTTGAGGTGTTGTAGATAGGTCCCAGATGAGGGTTCGCCAGACTTTAGGCGATATCCTAAGGTCGAACCCTTATGAACGGAGCTCGAAGTGCTTATTTTTCTTCTTGAGAGGAGCCTTCAAGACAGGGTACCATCTCGAATCCTGCAATGGTGCTAAATGCTTCCTGGGGCCTAACTTCTTTTCGATGGAGGTCCTTGAGGTCGGGTACCACCTCGAGACTGGAGATGATGCCGTTGGCTTCTTAAAGCCTAGCTTCTTTTTGATCGAGATCCTCGAGGTCGGGTACCACCTCGAGACTGGAGATGATAACGTTGGCTTCTTAAAGCCTGGCTTCTTTTTGACGAGATCCTCGAGGTCGGGTACCACCTCGAGACTGGAGATGATGCCGTTGGCTTCTTAAAGCCTGGCTTCCTTTTTGATGGAGATCCTCGAGGTCGGGTACCACCTCGGGATTGGTGACGATACCGCTTCTTGGGTTGCTTCCGTTCACTTAGGGATCTCCCCATTTTAGATAGTTATCCTCCCGTTTCGGCATTGAGTCCTTCATTACCTTAGCGCTAAAGTATTTGTGCAGGTTCCTGCTTCAGTTCTTCTAGTCCCGCCATAGCCATGACTTTTACATCGGGGCCTGTTCGGCAGAGAGGGGAGAGTTCCGCTCCCGATGCTCAGGATCAAAGAGAGCCTTCCTTGAAGATTATTTCTTCGATAGGAGAGGGGCACCTTGAGTTAGTGAGGAGATATTGCGGATGGGGGGAGAGAGTAGTGTTATAGACTCTTTCCCCGGATAAGGGCATCTCGGATCA